CTTTTTTTTAGTTTTCATTATTACTGCCTTTTATTATAAGTATCTTTATAAATCTTATCTTTATTTGTGTTTCGGGGTTGAAAAGATTACATAAAAAGTCACAGATATATTTTAATATATAAAATATGCACAAATCATAACAAAATAGATGGTAATAAATGTGGTTTGTCATAACTAAAGTACAGTGTATGTTGGGGACTATCTGAGTTTGCTCATGCAAAAATTTTATATCGTTTAAATGAATTTGTCAGTCTTTTCTTGAAGGGTGTTTGGTGTTTTTCTTTCCCTTTTTTTTATTGTCCTTTGTCCTTCTATTACTCTGAATAAGACTGTTTCTAAAATTTCTTACATTTGCCTCCTTTCTGTTTTAAAGAATGAAACCAATTTTCACTCTTGTCAGTTCTCAGTTCATATGGGTATGCACATAGAAATCTCCAAATAAATTACAAATTATTTGAGTTAATAAGACTGGCAAATATTGTGTGATATATTGTAGCTCATGGTTGCAATAATAATAATCTCAACAGGAATATGACAACTAGTAAACAGTAAAGGATTGGTCTCAGACCTGCCCAACTGTTTTCCATTGAAGATTATTTTACTACCTCAGCTTTTGAGATCACGTGTGAAAGTCTCCATTAAATGAATGATAAGAGGGTGTTAGTCTAAGCTAGTTCTCTGGAGCTGAGGTTGTTGTGTGAGGTCATCTGACCCAACTACCAGGCCCACACTGGTTAGTAAAAAGATGTAGTCCTAGAATTGACTGTACAGATCTCCCACATTCAGTGTTGTGAGTATCTTTTCATTCTTCAGCCACTTCATCCACACTATGAAATGTCTGTGGAAAATCAACATAGGAGACAGGATGAGATGTAGAGCTAGGTGGATCTGAGTTACTGCAGAATTACTGAGGCTGCTGAGGCTGGAGATGAGAATGGGGAAGCAACCTGGGAGATATGACTTGGAAGGTGGTACAAAGCCAAGTGGGCAGCAACAGCCAAGCTGAGACACAAGATGTGTTCTCCCTGGGAGCTGAGGGTCCAAAGCCAGGCATGGAGTTGTCCCTGCTCAGATGCTCCAGTCCTGGCCAGTGGGGTTATTTATGCACTGGGAGGATCCTGGCAGCAACCTTCTCAGTCCCTTCAGAGACTGGAGTGTGGCCTCATGTGAAGGTGCTACATGGCCACTAGGGAGCCTTGGTTTGCATTCCAGCCTCACAAGGAGCAGCTGGAGGCTTCCCTGTTGTACAACTCATGGAAGCCACCCTCAACCAGCACTAAATGTTGGCCTAGGACTTTCTGCAACATCTTAAGAATATTCCCTCCTAAACCAAACCCAAACCAAACTCACTGCCGACGAGTTGAATCCAATTCATAGCCCCTCCTTGTGTTTCCAAGGCGGTATCTCTACGGAAGTAGATCTCTCAGTCTTCCCTCCACAAATAGTTTCTGAATGCATGCATGAATGAATGAATGAAGAAAGATTAGTCAACTAGATCTGTCTACCAAAAAAAACTATATATATAGACCCAAGCATTTGTTCTTGCACAAAACTGCTGCAGAAAGAGATGCACACATAAGGCAATGAAGTGAAATAGGGAACTTACTCAAAAAGGCAACTCTCAGATTTTCCCTGTGGCTTAGCACATATTTGGTCAACTGCTCACACTCAATTCTATTTGAATTGATCCTGGCACATTACAATAGCTTCAATCATCAGAGAAAGATTTAATAACATTAACCATATTGTACTTACTAAGGCAGAAAGTAGACTCATATATTTTATAAAGATTGTCAGTAACAAGATTGAAACACAAAAAGGGCTTTTGGTTTACCCTCCGCAAACCAGAAAATTAAATTAACTAGAAGCTCTCTGTCCCTCAGTGGTCTGGATAATTGAGGCTTATTGTATTAGAAAACATTTAAACTATGTGTATTTTAATAGAATTGAAAAATCCATTGCTGGAGAGTTTCATTTGTAATTTGAAGCAATATAAGATTTCTTCATTTCTACCACCTAACCTGCATTATTAAGTCATATTATTTTGTGTTTGCTACTGATGAATGAGGTCTTGTCAGACAGTTAAATTTCATTCATTTAGGGGATAGAGATTCATTTTGTACATGATCCTGGCCTTTGGTTCTGTCTTCATCTTTCTTCTGCCTATTGTTTAAGGATTTTACTGCTCATTAACACCTTTTGCTAGTGACTATTGGTGGGGAGGAGAAGAGAGGGGGAAAAAAGAGAAGTGAAAAAACAAATGTGTCTCTCCAATTACTTAATAAGATATTAATGGAATATTTGAATATAACTACATTTTTTGTAGATTTCTCTGATCAAATAATTAAGCACCTATTTAAGAAATAATTACCATAATTCCAGGCTCTTTAATGGAAAGTTACTCTCCATGAAATCAAAATCTATGTGGACACTTGAAGTGGGCATAAATAAAATAATGAAAGGATGATAATCTGAAACAGTGGGAGCTCTGATAGTGTAGTGCCTAAGGCATCTGACTGGTAACCAGAAGGCTGGCAGTTCAAACCCACCAGCCACTCCCTGGAAGGAAGATTGGGCAATCTACTTCCATAGAGATACTGCCTCGGAAACCCAAAGAGGAGTTGCTATAAGTCAGTTTGACTCGACAGCAGTGAGTCTGTTTTTTGGACTGTGAAACAATATATTAAATACTAGGATATGAGGCAGAGAGCAGTGACATCAAAAGAGTTAGTGTCCCCCAGTGCAATAGCTCATGGTGTCACCAACCACTGACATGGCCTTCTTCCCATACCAGATCATACAGAATCCTTAGTATTATTTATTATCAATTTTAACCATAGAATAATATGTAAAAATAATATGGAGTAATATGTGATATTCATCTGTCAGTTTGTTGTATTGTGGTGGTTTGTGTGTTGTTCTGATGCTGGAAACTATGCCACTGGTACTTGAAATACTAGTAGGGTGTCTCCCATAGTGGGCTGTTTCCAGTGGAGCTGCCAGACTAACACAAACTAGGAGGAATGACCTGGCAATCTATTGCTAAAAAAAAATGTGGCCAGTGAGAATCTTATAAATAACAGTGGAGCATTGAATTAGTGTCAGAAGATGAGCCCCTTAGGTTAGAAGGTACCCAAAATATGACTAGAGAAGAGCTGCCTACTGAAGGTAGAGTTGATCTTAATGAAATGATGGAAAAAATCCTTTGGGACCTTCATTTGCTGATGTGATATAACTCAAACTGAGAAGAACAGCTGCAAACATCCATTAATAATCAGAAAGTGGAATGTATGAATCTAGGAAAATTAGAAGTTGTCAAAATTGAAATGGAATGCATAAAGATTGATATCCTATGCATTACTGAGCTGAAATGAACTGGTATTGTCCATTTTAATCAGGCAGTCATGTGGTCTACTATGCTGGGGATGACAAACTGAAAAGAGATGGTGTAAAAAATAATTGTGGTACTTGTTGCATAGAAATATTGTAAGGACTGAAATCGTTAATACACATTTCAAACCCAATGCTTTCAAGTCAATTCTGACTCGTGGTGACCCCACACATCACACAATTATAGCGACCCCTCCTTGGGTTTCTGAGGCAGTATCACTACAGAAGTAGATTGCCCCATCTTCCTTCCGAGGAGTGGCTAGTGGGTTTGAACCACCAGCCCTTTGGTTAGCAGTCAAGTGCCTTAGGCACTACGCTACCAGAGCTCCCACATCACACAATAGAATGTTTTATAAAGCGTTCAATGGATGTAATCTTATGAAAGAAGTTTGCCAGACTTTTCTTCCACAGTGCTGCTGGATACATTCCAACTGCCAACGTCAGTAGCCAAGAGCAAATCGTATATACAGACTGGAGTGCATAATTAAGAAGGGCACAGGAAGGGGGTGTCAAAGAGAAGAGAGAGGAACAGAGTGGGTTAGGGTTGGGGAAGGTAATTGGGGAGTGAAACCAAATGTGCACAAACTGTTGAATGTAAAACAAATTCTGCTCTGTGAATTTGTACCCAAAGCATAATAATAATAATTATATATGTTTTCATAATAATAAATGTTAATTAATTTAATAATAACTATATGTTTTAAAGTTTTGTTAAACATTATTATTATATAATTAATGTAATATTAGTTTTTTAACACAAATTGAAATTTAATTGCAATATATCAGGAAGTCTTTAAATATGATGCTTTGTAAAGGAGAGGCCAGGCTGGAACATAATTATACTCAGTGAATGAATATAATGAATGATCCACCACCCATCTGTCAGTTTGTTGCACTGTGGTGGCTTGCATGTTGCTGTAATGATGAAAGGTGTGCCGTCAGTGTTTCAAATACAGTGGGGTCAATCTGGGTGGACAGGTTTCAGTAGAGCTTCCAGACTAAGACTAGGGAGAAAGGCCTGGTGATCTACTTCTCAAAATAGCTAGTGAAAAACACATGGATTACTACAGAAAAATGTCTAATATAGTGCTACAAGATGAGGCCCCTACATTGGGCTTACTCATTGCCATTTAGTCAGTTCCAACTCATAGCAACTCCCGTAAGGTTTCCAAGGCTGTAAATCTTTATGGAAGCAGACTGCTCCACATCTTTCTTCCATGGAGCAGCTAGTAGGTTTGAACCACTGATCTTTTGGTTAGCAGCCAAATGTCTTAACCACTGTATCATCAGAGCTCCTTCCCTATTCTAGAAGGCACTCAAAATACACAGTCACCACAGCAGTGGACTTGAGCATACCAATGATTGCAAAGAAGGCATGGGACTGGGCAGTGTTTCATTTTGTTGAACAGTGGGTTGCCATGAGCCAGAGCTGATTTGATGGCTACTAACAACAATATGGATGAATGATGGTATTAGAGGTGTGTTTTATGAAATGGTACAGGTCATGAGTATCACACAGTAGTGAAGTCCCTAGTGCTATGGGAGTTGATACATTTATGGCCCTTCATTATTAATGCTGTATCTGTTCTTCTCTTCATTGTCCTTTGCAGTCGGATACTTCTGGAAACTATGAAATCACACTTCTAAAGATCTGTGGAGGAGATGACTGAATCAAGAAGATAATCTCCAAAGGTCACCTGCTTCCATAGTGGTCTTTCCCACCAGCTACATTTCCTTCCTTCTCAGAGTACTAAAAAGTTTATATATGTAAGCAGCAACTTGTTTTCCTAACAGCAATTTTCATTGTCTCATAACAATAACAAAAAGTGAGTATTTTAGAGCACCTCATTCATAATGTAGTAGTTTCTAAATGAAATTTTGAAATAGTATTAAAATTTCTGCTAATTCAAATTATGTTTCTGCCCAAGAAGTGAGAATTTTGTGTGGTTCTAAATCATTAAATATAATAACATGCAATAAAATTGTTTCCTTTGTTAAAGGTAACTTGTTTGTTTGTCTTTAGCATTTATGAGCATTGTTTGGTGCCTTCTGACAAAAACTGATGATATTTTAGGACATGTTTCTGTTATAAATACTGTGATTCATTAAATTTATCTATTACTTTATTAATCATGCTCACCTTTAAGAAAAGAGTAAACATTAAGATGTAGGTGACTCTGGCTTGCCTTTTCTAGTTGTGACTGACCTATCAGAGTGGTAATACATAGTATGTTATTTCAGCCCTCACCAAACATCTGCTAAACTATTAATCTAACCACTTCCTTTCTGAATGGCAAGCATGAATTGTGGTTATTTTATGCTAAATACTACTTTCCCAGAATGGGTATTCAGAATCAAATCTCCAAGGCTTCCTTTTCCCCTAAAATAACTTTGCAAAACTATGCATTTAAAAAAGTCCTTCATGTTACCTTTCAAAGGAACCTGATATAAAATGTCTTGACTGATATGAAATGTATGGGGAAAAAATTCCAATTGTGTTTTAATTAGTCTGAACTAGAATAGAAGTGATCACACTAGAATAGTAATATTAAGTCCAGAACTTTATGCCAAGAAATTTGGAAGACAGCTAGCTACCTGGCTAGTTGACTTGAAGAGATTGATGTTTGTGCCCAATTCAAAAACAGGTGATCCAACAGAATGTGGAAATTATTGAATAGTATCATTGATATCACACACAAGTAAAATATTGCTGAAGATAATTAAAAAATGGTTGCAGTAGTATATTGACAGGGAATTTCCAGAAACACAAGCTAGATTCAGAAGAGAATGTGGAACAAGAGTTATCACTGCTGATATCAGATGGATCTGGGCCAAAAGCAAAGAATACCAGAAAGATGTCTACCTATGAGTTATTAGCTGTGCTAAAAGGATTTGACTGTGCGGATCATAACAAATTATGAATAACATTGCGGAGATGGGAATTCCAGAACACTTAATTGTGCTCTTGAGCAACCTGCACATAGTCTAAGAGGCTGTCATTCAAACAGAACAAGGGGATACTGCATGGTTTAAAAGCAGGAAGGGTATACATCAGGGTTGTATCCTTCCATCATACTTATATAATCTGTATGCTGAGCAAATGATCTGAGAAACTGGACTATACGAAGAAGAATGTGGCATCAGGAGTGGAGAGAGAACCATTAAAAGCTGCCATATGCAGATGACACAACCTTGCTTGCTGAAAGTGAAGATGACTTGAAGCACTCAATGCATTTTAATTGTGGAGTTGGTGAAGAATACTGAAAATAACATGGACTTTCAGAAGAACGAACAAATGTGTCTTGGAAGAATTGCAACCAGAATTCTCCTTAGAAGTGAGGATGGCAAGACTTTATCTGACATAATTTGGACATGTTTTCAGGAGGGTTGATGAAAGAGGGAAAGGCCCTCAATGAGATGGATTGACACAGTGGCTGTGGTGATGGGCTCAAGTATAGCAAAGATCATGGAGCTGGCATGGGACTGGGCAGTGTTTCATTCTGCTGTTCATAGGGTCACTCTGATTCGGAGACAACTTGACAGCACCTAACAACAACAAACATCAGGCGGGACCAGTCCCAGGAGAAGGACCATGTTTGGTAAAATGGAGAGTCATTGAAAAAGAAGAAGACTCTCAACAAGATGGATTGGCACAGTGGCTGCAACAATGGGCTCAAATACAGCAATCATTGTGAGGATGGCACAGGACTGGGCAGTGTTTCATTCTCTTGTACATAGGGTCACCATGAGTTGGAACTGACCTGATGACACCTAACAACTGTAAAAGAAATATCACAAGCATTTAAGGAGCAGAAGTTTAGTTTCCTACAGTTTAGAAACTTAGAAATCTGAATTCAGTGTGTGCTTTTAGGGAAAGTCCTTCTTTGTCTATTTCGACATCTAGTAGCAGACAATCCTTGGATTTCCTGGACTTGTAGATTTATCTGCCTTTATCATCAACAAATAGAATCTGCCTTCTTCTCCCTTCTCCCTGTGTACTTGCATGCTTCTGACTCGGATCTGCTCTTTGTATAACTCCAAACCCACTGCCATCAAGTCGGATCTGACTCATAGTGACCCTTCCTTGGCTTTCCAAAGTGGTATCACCATGGAAGTAGATTGTCCAAACTTCCTTCCAAGGAGTGACTGATGGGTTTCACCACCAGCCTTCTGTACTACACCACCAGAGCTCCCTTTCATAACTCAGAAGTGATTATATTTAGACACACAGTGCACTGATAATGGCATTATTAACATAATACAACCTGATTTTTAAAGAGAATTACATCCACAGGTGTAGGGGTTCATACTCCATCACATATTTTGGGGGGTACATAATTCAATCCATAATACCGTGTGACAGATCCTGTGCTACTTAAGAATTGAGTGCACAAAGAGGACTAAGACTCATTTCCTTTTGACAAAGAGCTGAAAATCTGTTTAAGAAGTCAGACATGTAAGTAGAAAAACACAGCATAGTGTCTACTACATGCATTCAGGGAAGTGACATGTATAAGAGAGAGAGATCATTACAGAGGTGGGAATCAGGAATTCACCCTACCAAAGGCCACAAACTCAACCAGTAGAAAAGAAAGGGAGAAGCTTTCCAGACAGATAGAAACACTTGAGTCACAGAGTTATAAACCAGCATGGTACGTACACCCAACCAAATCAAACCCACTGCCAATGAGTCCATGCCACCTCATAGCAACCTTATAGGACAGAGTGGAGTGACTTCATAGGGTTTCTAAGGCTGCAAAATCTTTACGGAAGCAGACTTTTTTCATCTTGTGGAACAGCTGGTGGGTTTGAACCACTGACCTTTTGGTTGGCAGCTGAATGCTTTAACCAGTGTGCCACCAGAGTTTCTGAGTGTGTACATAGCTCTACCAAAATATCAGTTTAGACTCCCTGAGACAATTGCTCTAAAATCTCTTTAAACTTTGAACCAAAACTAGCCCCTGAGCTCACCTTTAGTGAAATAACAGAACAGCACATGAAACAAAGGATATTACCTGTGAGTAAGGTGATCCATTAAGAAACAATCTATATGAGATCAAAAAGTCAACAATTACTCTAAAGCAAAGATAAGAAGATAAGGGGGCAGGGATAAGATAAGGCAGGAGCACTGAAAATGAAACAACCAGAATGCAATTAAAGAGAATGTTGACACATTGTGAAAAATATAATTGATGTCTTTGAACAGTTTGTATAGAAATTGTCAAGTGGGAAACTAATTTGCTGTGTAAATTTTCACCAAAAACACAATAAAATATTATTTTTAAAAGTTTAATGTGGTTGAGGCTGAAAGTACAGGTTAAGATGATAGGTGAGAGGCAGGGTCAAGTTTACATAACAGAGTTTACAAACAAGGGAAAGTCATTGGAGGAGTGTTCAGGAATGTTTCCTTCAGGAAAATGACATTAAATTTTTATTGGTCAAAGGAGAAGAAAGTATGAGAGAAGAAAGCTAGAAGCAGGGAGCCCACTGAGCAAGTTAATTCTATAATTGGTGCCAGATCAGCCTGAATTAAGGTAATGGCAGGAGAGAATGAAGAAAAAAAAAATTTAAGAGATAAAATTGATAGAACTTGGTAATCAAGGTAGTCAGGTGTTAGATATGCCCCTAAGGTTTTGGCATAAGTGATTTGGTGAGCAAGTGTATCACCAAGAAGTAAGTCATTGCCATATTCCTTTCAATAGCCTCATATGCATGTGAAAGCTGGACAGTGAATAAGGAGATGAAGAAGAATTAATGCATTTGAATTGTTGTGTTGATGAAGAATATTGAAAGTACCATGCAGAATCAGAAGAATGAAAAATCTCTCTTAGAAGAAGTACCAGCACAATGCTCCTTAGAAGCGAGAATGGTCAGACTTCATCTCACATAACTTGGGTCATGTTGTCAGAATGGACCAGTCCCTGCAGAAGGGTGTCATGCTGGGTAAAGTAGAGGGAAGACCCTCAACAAAATGGGTTGACACAGTGGCTGCAACCGTGGGCTCAAACATGGCAAAGATTGTGAGGATGGCACAGCACTTGGCAGTGTTTTTTTTTTTTTTTTTTGATTGTTCATAGGGTCACTGTGAGTTGGAGCTTACTCAACATCACCTAACAACAATAACAACATATTGCTTAACTCATTAAGTGCTTATTATGCATCAGGTACTTTACTGAAGAGTTGTAAGCTGCCATCCAGTTGAGTCCCAACTCATAGAGTCCTATACACACAGAATTGGACCACTAGCTAATTCTCAGAATTAGGCCACCATGGCTTCTTCCTAGTTTGTCTTAGTATAAAAACAAAAAAGAACCAAACTCATGCCATCAAGTTGATTCTGACTCATACTGACTGTATAGGATGGAGTAGAACTGCCTCCTAATGTTTCCAAGGCTGTAAATCTCTACAGAAGCATTATGCCACAGCTTTCTACCATGGAGCAGCTGGTGGGTTTAAGCCAATGACATTTTGGTTACCAGGCAAGTGCTTTAACCACTGCATCACCAGGGCTCCTTTTTTGGTCAACAAAAGACTTTTTTTTCTCTATTCATTTGCATGACATGAGTGATTTTGGTTGGGGTGACTATTTAAACATTTGTAAATATAACAATCTCAGCTTCCCAGGTTTGGGGGAAAAAAAAAAAAAAAACTGTATCATTGAATGATGGCCAGCCTTGGGAAAAAATTCAGAAAATTTTATTGGAATATACAGTACTTTTTCCAAGCTACCTGTTACCATCCAGAGAAATCTTTTGTGAACTGGGCAGAGTAATTGGTCTTCTGAAAAAGCAACAAGTTTAAATGCATATAAAAAACCAACCCACTGCTGATGAGTCAGATCCGACTCATAGCGACCCCTCCTTGGGTTTCTGGGTTTCTGAGGTGGTATCATGATGGAAGTAGATTGCCCAGTAGTCTCTCTTTTACTGAAATTGAGCTAAATTTCTAAAATAGATTAAATGAAAAAAATAGTCAATTCTATCTCATGGTAACCCCATGTGTAT